AACCCACCCTTTTAATCTCCAATCACCACTTTCCAATTGACCAAACGAGTCTTTTTTTTTATCAGAGTTCCCATCCCATAGGAATGGTTGGGTAGCAGAATGAGCAGATCAAATATCTGTTAATGTCATTATATAAGGTATTAGAGCATGACTTATTTTAGCAAATGTACCCTTAGAAAATCATAATGCATAAATGGTTCATTTCTGCATGAGAATGAGGTAAATTGGCAATTATTAACATCATCAAAACCAAAGCCTAATGTTGCATAAATCAAACAGGATAAAGAGAAGGAATATCTCCTGTCAAATAAAGTCACTTCCTCCAAGTTCAATATAGCCTCTTTGGCCAGTTCACTTCCTAAAAAGGAATTTGACCATCTTGTTAAATAAGATTCAGCTAGACAATAGTATAAAAGAATAAGGTGTTAATGTCATAAAGTGGAGTAGTCTTTTGAAAATATCAAGCAATTTTATTTTGTAGTAATTTTAATTCTTGAATACAAAAAATAACTTTTTAAAAACAATCAGGTAAACTGGGACTAGAAGCAGAGTCACCAGTAAAATTGGCTTTTTTTGTCTGATAAACGGTCAAAAAGGCATCTTTGGGATCCAAAGAATATCCATGTACATGGACCAGAAATGCATTGGTACCTCCCAGATAAATTAAATATGGATATTTTAAATTAGGTGTGGATGATTCAAACTATCAACTTGGTGGAGCATTACATTTTCAGTACGTCAAGAAGCTACACAAGCAAGATGCAATGTTTTTCATGCCCCCGCCAAATTGACAAAAAGAAAAAGGGAGCGTCAGCATTCATTCCCACTATAAAGTGCCAGAAAAATGCTACTCTCCACCTCACAATTCTTCAACGAAGAATAGAAAATAAGGAATGTTGGGATTTAATTTCTTTACAATGTAATGGTCCCATGTAAGCAAGAGTTTGTGAGTTCGAGTCTCCCCAAGAGCAAGGTGGGACGTTCTTGGAGGGAAGAATGCCGGGGGTCTATTTGGAAACAGCCTCTCTACCCCAGGACAGGGGTAAGGTCTGCGTACACACTACCCTCCCCAGACCCCACTAAGTGGGATTATACTGGGTTGTTGTTGTTGTTGTTATTGTAATGGCCCCATGTACTTAACATTGAGTGAAGAAGAGAATAACCCTAACAATTTTCATATTTCAAGGACCTCAAATAGCAAGTTAATTATCTTTGAATACACGTTACTTCCCGAGGCCCAATTACATACAAAGATTGACATTTTTCACAATTGTTTGGGAATATTAAAAACTTATTGATACAAAACTCCTATATTATCTTTCAATAAACTTATTACTCCCCAAGACCAGCAATATACAATGATTCAGTTTTTCCAATAGAGATATTGTTCGAGTCAGCTAGCTTGGGCCTCGACTAATTTACTAAATACATGCTATCTCCCACCAGCATAAGTATTGGGTAACTTTGGCCACCAACTCTTAGGTAGATGGAGTGAATTCGCCTAGTGTCTCGTCTGCAAGGATTCAAACCTTGTGTTGTTACTCCGACACCTTGACCGCTAGGCCACCCTTTGGGGGTTGTTCTAACATTTACTTATTTAGGACAATAATAAATTTAGTAACATAAAACTTTCCTAGGTAATCAAACACTAGAATTTTTCTTCTGCACAAGCAAATATATACAAAGCTCATTGTACATTTATGTCATGAATACTGATTACATGATTACAAAGAAAACTAAATGAGTCGCCAAAAAGCAGTTACGGAACAAGTCAAAGAACAAACTGTAACATCCATGAGACATATTGATCCAACGAATATTTAACTTACAAGTACTGCAATTTCTGGAGTTGGCCAAGCTGTGGTACCAGTTGACCTGTTAGATTTGCATTTCCAAGATCACTGTGTAAAAAAATGCAGCCAAAATTCACAAATGAAGTTCATAACATAAAGGGATCAAAAAAAAAAAAGATTTTGTGTAGCTTACACTCTAGTAACATTATTTTCATTGTTGCATGTCACATGGAACCAAGTACAAGGATTAACAAGTGTTGGATCCCAACTCTGTAGAACACTATTAGGATCACCCAAATTGGTCTTCTGAGCATACAAAGCATCACCTGTCTTACATAAAAGATTATACATCAATGATCACCTCATCACACATTAAAACTAGAAATTTTGTTGTATTATTTACAGCAAAATGCCTCCTCTCTCTCCCCCTCAACGTCCCCTTCCCCCGACATTTTGGTCCATATAGTCTTGCATGGAAAAGCTGGTAGCAAACTGCTTAAATATAACCTAAATCCTTAATAGGATAATATCAGACTTGATCAACAAGCTGCAGTTCAACTTTTTATGTAAAGAGGATTTCCAATTTCCATTCAACACCCAATTGAACAGTCAACTCAATTAAGCTAACAAAACCAAATTTGAGTCAGAAAGTTAAACATCTTTTTAACTCCACACATATTCACCAAAATCTTGAAAAAGGAACAAACCTTCAGCGTTACCGGCAACCGGTGACAAGTTCAAAAGCAGCGGAGTTAAGCATAGAAAAACCCAGATCACCAAGACCGACTGATCCATGATTCCCGGTCATCCACAACTAAAAATCAAGATTCCTCATTTAAACCATTCAATGGCACTCAGCCGAGAAAACCTAATCCCAAAAAGGTGAGGTCAATGCAGTAGTAAAAGTAAAATGGAAGCAAAGGGTGAAAAGCTTGTGATAGAGAATAGATTCAACAAAAGGTTATTTCAATTCCCCTGAAAATTGAGGAAGAAGAAAGATAGAAAGCTTTCTTTTTTGTTTATGAATTTTTA